TAGAGGATACTTCCTACCCAAAATATTGATTCAAAATTTTCATAAATGAACATTTCTACTTTCCTGAAATAAATGCATTGCTTTATTTATAAGCTTATGCTAAATTTGAAGATTCACCCATATCCTGAATTCATATATATAAGGTGACCAGACATCCCGCTTTTGACGGGACAGTCACTATTTTTAATAATTTGCCCCGTGTCCCGCAGCGTGTTCAAAAACTCCCGATTTTCCAAAAGAAAGAAAACAATTTTAAAAAGGACGGCATTAAAAAAAAAGTTTTTATTTCTCTGAAGTGTTGTTCCTGATGTGGCCTTTAGAGGGCAGTGGTTTCCCTCTCTCCGCTCAGCTCCCTCTCCTCCTGCGTGCGCACTGACGCACACCGTTTTTCTACAGGCAGCGCAGCGAGGAGGAGGCTCGGTCCCGGGCCAAGAGGCTCAGCCATTGGAAGGTTTTTCTTTTTTTGCCCGCTTCTCTCGGGCGCTGCTCTCCCTGCAGCCATTTCTCCCTCTTTCTCCTTTTTGTCCTTTCTCCTCCTTCCCCCCAAAAAGAGAACGAGGGGGAGAAAGAGGAGATGTGGGAGATCGTGGAATCGCTGGTTTCTGAGCTTGGTGAGCAAGGATCCCCCACCCCACCTCCTCTTTCGGAAAGAGGAGGTGTGGAGGAGATTGTGGGATCGTTGCTTTCTGAGCTTGGTGCAGCAAGGATCCCACTATCTTACTATTTTATTTTTCTTTATGTACACTGAGAGCATATTCACCAAAGACAAATTCCTTGTGTGTCCAGTCACACTTGGCTAATAAACTATTCTATTCTATTTTACTCTACTCTACTCTATTCATTTCTATTTCAATTCTAACAAGGAGTTTAGCTTCTCTCTCTTGAAAATGTAAGCCAGCATAAGGCATTATAATGCAAGCTAGCCTTAACTTTCAAACAGTTCATTTAGTGACCAAAGTTACAATGGCATTGAAAAAAGTGTCTGATGACCATTTTCACACTTAGTGACCATTTTCACACTTAGCAACCGTTGCAGCATCCGCATGGTCACGTGATCAAAATTTTGATGTTTGGCAACAGATTCGTATTTATGATGGTTTCAGTGTCCTGGGGTCATGTTTGACAAAATATAAAATTTTTAATCAAGCCCCCCCCCCCCCCCCCCCCCAGTCAATGGTGTCTCTCTTTACCAATCTGAAAATCTGGTCACCTTACATATATAGTAAGTTTTTTTCCTAAGACTACTTTAAGTTCAAAGACTATATCTGAAACAAAATGAAGGAGCTATTATTGGGTGAAAAGTAATATCAACATTTAGAGAGCAATTATTACGACCTCTTCTATCTCTAGTTCAGGATTTTCACATAAGGGCTTCTCTTTAATTTTTTAAAGATTAATTTTACAACTTTCCAGAAGTGACATTTCCTGCTTCAAATATCTTGCAAAATGAACTTCAATTGATAACACTGTATAAAAATCTTCTTGGTGGAACTAGTCATTGTGGAAATGTTACATTTTCATATGTCACTGGTCACTTATTTAAACTGTGATAATACATAGAAACTGAAATTGTACACATTCACTGACACTATCCTTTTCAGGAAAGACCCATCTATGTTGAGAAAGTTGCTTAAATTATCTGTTTCCTATAGAAACCAGTACTGATAATACATAAAAAGACAGATCAAAATTAAGTTATATAGAAATGGGACCTTGGCATAAGTAAGAGAATTAAAGAATAGAGATGCCAGGATCATAGATTCTGTATAAATACTTAAAGATGAAAATTTGAAAGCAAAATGTTAGCCTTCTTTAGAAGCTTTTAAGGACTGGAAAGCAGAATACGACATTACTAACAATTATTTCATGCATTGTATTTTCTGTGAGTCAGATTGTTTTTATGCTGAAAAGGTCAAATAAAAGTTTCAGAACCAAAAGAAAAGTAAAATGGGAGCATTGCTTACAATAGCTAGTTTTTTTGGCTGACCTGATAATATGAATGATTCAAAAGTTTTAACCTAAACCTTTGTTTTAAAATGATCTGTAATGTTCATTTATATACTTGGGCTAAGAGGCAATATTCAAATGTAATCTCCTTTCCTTCAATTTTTCTGATTTTCTAATGACGAGCCATTTCTTGGCAGGAACATATAATAGAGAGTGAGACAAATATGAACAAACTTCCTTGTTTTCAAACTGATTCTTGTGTAACTAATGAGATGTGTTATCAACTGTTTGCTGTAGAAACAGAGAAGTTGGTGTTAGATGCATTTTACAAGAACATATTGTCTCAGGTCTTGGGAGATGTAGCTTTCTGCACAAATAATTTGTAACTGTCAAATATTTATCATTTACTGCATTTCATATTGGGTAACTCCAGGAACTGGGATGAAGCCAGCAGATGGTGATAGAAATTAAACTTATGATACAGTTCAGTAATCAATAAGCCTTTGAAACACAGATATGCTCTTTCATCCTTATACAATCTCCTCTCTAAATTCCAAGCTAAACATGATAAATACATTCTACGCTCTGCTCCATTTTCCCTCTGTCTTCCTAAGCAAAGACAACTAGCAAAGTTGGATTGACTTAAAATCTAATGCATCTGAAGAGCCACCTTTGATATCATTAAAGAGCAGAATCAGAAATCATGAACAAATCACAGAGGAGCCATTGTTCAGCTAATACGTAATTGTGGAGCCACATTTCAAGGAAGCCTTACAAAAATAACTTAGATTGGGGGGAAAAGAGGATACAAATTTAACTCTAATTAAAACAGCTTAACACAAAAGAATTAAGTCATATATATTTATTGCCTCCAGACTGCCTTGATGTGATATAAATTGCTTAAGGCTACTGTGGGAATAAAATCTATCCACATTGAATTGAAGCTCCAATCATGAAATCCATTGTTTGTCACCACTAATATGTTACAAGAAATTAAATGCATAAACACATAAATCCAAAAGCCTAAGAAAAAAGCAGATTGATTCCCCTTCTTTCTAGTGTTCCTTCTGGATTCCATTTTTTCAGGAGAGGAGCACAGAAAGAATACAGATTACGTATACAGAAGTGGCTGCCAATCTGATCTTGCCTCTATCGGGCCCAGAAGAGCTGTTAAAAAGGAAGATAAGACATGTCACTCATTTCAATGCAGTACAGGAAATACTGCAACATTCTTCCCGCTCTATGTTCTGTGTGATGGCGCTGTTTAAAATGCTCTGTAATGCAAGCTGTAATCCCCAGCCTTACAACTCAATCACATATTTATTAATTTTTGACGTAATGCCCAGCAACTGTCCCTAAAGCTTCTATTGTGTGTGTATATGAGGGGGAGGGAGAGATATATTATTGATTCTACTCCTTTCCTGCTTGATTTGCTCAAACCTTTCTTCTGCTGGGCATGCAAGAGTATTTCACTGTTGCAAGTTGTAATTGAAAAAGACAGAAATGCTCAATATGACTCATACATTATTCAACTTATCATCTGCCAAAGGGAAAAAGAAAAGAAAAAGTTTGCATATCTACCTCTTCTCCTATCAACAGAAAAAAATAATTTTCAATTACATTATATGTATGCAATTCTGTTCATCAAGAGAATCTGGAGCCAGAGAGACAGAAACGCAGACAAAAAGATAGGCCAGGGAAGCAACTGCAACAAATTCACTTATGTGTGGATTCTTGGCTCCAGTTTGCCTCTTTATGATGTATCAAATTGAGGATGTTACCAAATAAAACAAATGTCAAAATCCAGGGCAAAAATATAAATAAAATCCTGTATTAGCTATCTGAAATGACACCAATGAAGCTAAATAAATCCTGACTGAATGTGAAGTTCTGCTTTAATGTATAGTCTTAGAGGACCTCTGTTAATACTTTCGTAGCATATATTTATGATAAAACACACAAGACTTTCTTGACAATTATTTTAAAAAATACAGAGCATTTCTACATTCCATTATTACTTAGAAAGCAAGAACAACCTGAGGACTCTTGAGGCCATTTTTGTAGGGTTGCCACCAGCATCCACAATCAGAAAGAATTTTAAAACATCAACAAACCTAATAGTATTGGCTATGATGGTCAAAATTTTCACAGCAATCTTTTAAGAAGCTGTCCCAAGCCAATTGTTCTTCATTAATAAAATAGACTTGAAATATCATTTTCTTGAACTTCAGTCTCATTTTATAATCCCAACGCAATTGCTTAAATTTATAAAGGTTCTAATGACAAGAAAATCTGAGGAATCAAAATATCCTCTGCTATCATTTTATTCATATAAAAAAATTCCTCAGATATGAACTTAGTTATTTGGGAAATAATCATATAGGACCAACCAAAATCCTTCATCAAAGAGTAAATGTTCATGAATTTGCTCTTGGAAGGACTCAAATAGCATTGATTACTGGTCAGGACTCAAACCAGGATAGAGTTACCCTTTCAAGTTCCTGAAAATATACTTATTTGTATAAAACGGTGACAAGAGTAATACATTCACAAAAATAATTGATACATAACCAGTCAATTACAGCTAAAATCCTGTCACTCCACTCCTCTCTTTCTTCTTTTGCTTTCCAAATGTCAATTTTTTGTTTGTAATAGATACTTCAGAAGAAAAAGACACCAGAGAATTCCAGATAGGATGGTGTAATATTCCTGGTCAGACTGTATCTGATCCATATCACTGACTCTCTACCGGAAGAAATAAAAACAGAAATATGTACAGATATCTACCTGATTCTGTACTATGTTGTACATTTATAAATGTAAAACAAGCTGAACAATATTTATACATTGATGAATATCCATTAAAACCACAGGAAAAATAAACAGAAATTACTGGTCTCACACACATATATGACATAGCCCATTTTACAGTATTAAACTCTGTTCTCACCAAAATATTAAACAAAGTTATTGTTGCCAAGCAGTAATTGCCCGCTTTTGCTATCACATGTAGTATTTAAATGCAACACAGGAATTAAGCAAGTTCTACCTACCTTCTAATACTGTAAGCTTGGCACTAGTGTTTATCTCGCCAACACTGCTGGTAGCCATGCACTCATAAATTGCTTCATCCCGAAGGACACGTAGTGGTTGAATCCGCAGAACTGATCCAGATCCATCATCAAATTCAATAACCTTTTCCAAGAGAGGGAAAAGTTTTTATCAATTTATTAGTATAACTGATCCATAGAAGACCACTACCTCTGCACATCTTAATATATTAAATTTTCAGCTATAATTGTGAAATTATGAAGTGCTAGGGAAATCATCCATTCCTCTATGCACATCTCCTTGACTGTCATTGTGGTTAAAACTTAAATCCACAGACATAACCAGATGACTATGGCTTCAGGTAATATAAAATCCTACTCTTACAATTGATCATGTTTGCAGATGTATGAATAGATTTGATATTATCCAAGACAAACAAAAAACAAAATTACTATGTTAGATATAGATAAAATTCCAAATATGACAGGCAGGCAGGCAAGGGTGGTTGCAACTGATGTTCAACTCAATATTTATTCATATTAAAGATTTAAGATAAAATATGTTCATAGATTTCCAGAAGTATTTAAGGTACTCCAAAGATAACTGGAATAAAGTTTGCCATACTACTTAACTTCAAATTTAATTAAACCAACATTTTAATCTTATATTCAGTGAATGAATTATGACACTAAAATTTGGCTAGTATAACAAACCACCATTTGCTCAAATTAAAATAGGAATGGGTACTTGGAGGAGGGGTGAGTAAAGGAAAAGGTAGCATAAACATTCAAAGTATAGTATAGAGACCCATTTGTGATTTTACTGAGAGGCAGAAATAGTTAAATAGGGTTTTTATATGTCTGCTCCATAGTAATTAAAATAGTGTTTACCAATCCTAAAACATAAGCATTTGTTTTACTCTAAAACCACCTATAAATTGATCTTTAATAGAAAAAAGTAGAATATTTTATTTTATTTTAATTTGCTGAAGAAAGTGTTTCTGTAAATGAAACTGGGTGGGATCAATAGCATCAATCTTGCAGTCACTGGGTACTCCATACATTCTGCTGTGTAGTGCTGGGATTTCTTTAGAACCATATGGGAGAGCAAGAAGAAACCATGGAAAGCAATGCAGAAAATCATGCTTTTTTCCACTCCTTTGCTACTGAATTCCACCCAAAGGCTCCATATTAGTAGAGATAGGGATTAAATAACTTTACAGTAATCTAATTTCAAATCATAAGCAGAAAGAAATGATCACATCACTGGAATGATACAATGATTATACATGGAAGTTATTCCAAAATGAAATTTGCTTCCCTTAAATAAGAATAATTGTCTTGTTAACTGAGAACTTGACAAGCAGGACATAACTGTAATAGCATTCTCTTATCCTTCTCCAACAATTAATACCCAGAAGCATAGTGCTTCTGAGCTGAAAGCAGTTATACACCCAACTTAACCAACAGTAGTAAATGGCTTTATTTTCTACATACCTCAAATCGCTGGGAGCTGACCTTTTTTCCTTTCTTCATCCAAGTGATACGTGGTTTTGGTTCGCCTGTTGCTTGACATACAAAGGAGGCAACACCACCAGAAATCCCAATCTGATCTTCAGGGGTTTTCATAAAGTTTGGTTTGCCTATAAGAAAAAAAAATAGTAACTTTAGCACCTAAAATATATAGCACTTCAAATTAGGAGTTTTAAATACAACCAAGTTAACTCCAACAGCACAAAGCTGCCTTACACAACTTTCTCATGACAAGCTTATGCACTTCTAAAAACATGTTATTTTTCCTAGGAAACGTATCGGAAGTAAGAACTTGGGAAGGAATTTGAGAATGTTTTTGGAATATTTCTAACTCAAATAATCTATTAACATTACACACAAACTTGCATACATATTACACACACACACACACACACTTTGAATCAGTGTTGACTCCTGGGTCCCTACAGTTATCTTGCCAAAGTTTTCAGAAGTGGTTTGCCACTGCCTATTTGTTAGGGCTGAGAGAGAGTGACTGGTTCATGGTCACACAGCAGCTTCATGCCGAGAGACACTAGAACTCACATTCTCCTAGTTTCTACCCAGATGCCGTAACAATTATATCAAACTTGATCTCATGTCTGTCTATATCAATCCATCCACGGCTTATTTTGCTTTGTGTCAGGGTTTCAAATACCATCCTCCATCAACTAAGAGTTCGAGGCTTGAAATTCCTTAATGCTCAATTTTCTTAGAGAAGCCACATCTGGGAAAACCCGAATCTGAAAGCTTCCAGGTTTTCCCCACCCAGTTGAAAGTTCAAGACCCTGCCCCAACACCCACAAGTCTATCACATGGCTCAATCAGCCATTGCTATGAAGGAAGATTCCTCCCATCCACATCCGTCCAGGTGCAGGGACAAGGTGACCTTTACTTTCAGAGAAGGAATGTTATTGTGGCTACATATGTCCCATGCTCCATACAATCCCCCCTCCCAGTTTCCCACAGTAGAATATGTTTGAATATGTGGCAGGCTTTAGGTCCTATACAAAGATGGCTTCCAAGCCTGACAGGCTGCCTCCCTCCCTCAACAGAAGACCGTGTCCTGTAATGAAAATAAACAGGGGGATTAATCAGATACCTTACCACCTCTCCCCCATTTGGCTTATTAGGTTATTTGTCATGGAATTACTTAATTAGTCTATCTGTCTTCATATTCCAGCTTTTTACCCATGTGGCTTCTGACAAAGGGCACCACCCTTTCCAGTGAACTAAGTATTGTAATTGTCGTAAAACACAAAAACTCTTTAATACAGACTTGCTACTTTTAAAAAAAAAATCAAACTTCTGGTGATGCCAATCCCCAATAATTGTATACTATTAAAAAGGAGACAGGGAGTGTGTGTATGTGAGAGAGGGAGAGGAGAGTGAGAGAAAGAGAGAGATTGCTCTTTTCTGTAAAGAGTTGAGCAGAGATTACTTACTGACTCTGCAAACTATTCTCAGACTGAGAAGGGAGAAAATGTCAATCTAGCCAGTCTTTTTATTCAATATAAATACATTTGTTTAAAAAATGTTTTCACATGATGCAATGTATTAAAGTGACAGGATCATAATCCCAAATTTAGCTGAGCATTGAAAAAAAGGATCAGAAAAATACAACTAAAAAGTTCATGGAATAATACAGTCACTTTATTTAACAGCAGGTAATTTGAATGCTAAAATTAAAAAGGGATATTGAATAATATTAAGAACTGAGACCATCACACTGCAAGGTCTTTGGAGAAATATTTAGGAATCAGTAGATTAGAAACAATTAATTCCTTTTCTATCTTTCTCTGTGCTCAATACTTCAGAATGAAGAGCTAATGCAGCCCGACTATTTCATTCCAATGTTACCATTCATTCCATACCTCCAATTTACCAGGAATTTATGCATGCAATTTGTTTTTTGAAAATGGTTCTCTTGAATCTTTCAGTTTCAGTACCATTGACTATTACATTATTTGGATAGTCTGAGTTAGAACATGCATTATTTCTGTGCCAATTCCAGAAGATGATGCAAAGAAATCATAGCGTTTGTACCGTAACAGTTTTCCTATAGATTTCCTCAGAGGTCTGTTTCAAAAACAGTGGGGTGTATTATAATTCATATACCAGGTTTATGTACTTCACATTGTTGCAGCTATATTGTTTTGTTGAAATTATTTCTATCAACAGTATAATTTTAATTAAAAAGTCACTAAAGCTTTTACCTCATAGTTTTTAGCATGGCTTTTCTGAAGCATCAATTACCGTAGATTAAAACAACCAATTTTCCTGTTGTGAAACATTTAAGGATTCGTATACTGTAAAATAAATTATATTAAATGATTTTTGTAGGAAGTCTACAACTGCAGATCTGGAAACACATTTGATGTAGTTTACACTATCTGAAAAGCTATGCATATACAGCAGCAACCAATATCTATTATCACAAAAAATACATAAGCCTTTGTTGCCCTGCAAACCACACTTAAAAGCAATTATATTGTGGGACTTCTTTTAATTTTCTAGGATATATAATTTTTTAAAATTACATGACAAGCAGCTTGAATTGAGTGAATGTATGAATCCATTACATGTCAAATTTAAAGTATATACAGGCAAACCTTTACTATTTTAAAATGCTAATCTGTTAACTTATATAAATTCATCTGATGCAAAGTAAATATAGTAAATATTGAGCGAGGGACAAATTTATAGTCTCACAAATTATGCTAGGGCAATGACATGATTTTATTTTATAATAGGCTTCAGCCAGCGTAAGTGATAAAACGAAACAACAATAAAAATGAATAAAGAGAGCACAACTTAAAATCAGGAAGCTATTCACCAAATATCAATTTATATACAGCACAAAGTAATTATCAATGTTCAAGAATAAATCAGAAAAATGTTGGAAATGTCACTAGATACCTGGCTCATACTACCACATGTGGTGGACTTGCACTGAAGCTAAAAGATACTGGACTAAAATCCACATGTGGTTGGAGAAAATGACACTTTAAACCAGAGGTCTTTTTATTGGGGATCATACCAGAAACCTACAACAAACCTACAACAAAG